TAGTTAAGATGTGAAGTGGCTCTTCCATGAGACCCAGCATCCTCTACTCCCTCTCACTATAGGTACCCCGGAGTGTGAGTGGGATTTTCCAGTTGCAGTTGCTGAAAGGGCAAACCCTGAATTTGTTGAGAGAAAGAACTCAATGAGACTTCCTTTCGTCCTAAGTATGGGAAACAAAAGCATCTTTCCTGATGGTAGCTGGCACTGCTTGCACTCCACTTCCACAAAAAGCTGCAGTACAGCATGTCATTTATGGACAGAATCTTGACAGGGCAAGCACAGGTCTGGAAACTTAAACTTAAACATATCAGAATTGTTCATGGGCCTTTGCATCCGACTTCCCCAGCTTGCCACAAACATATAGTATTGACACCAGTAAGTACATTAAATATACAGGGATATAATGTGGTGACTGAGATATTGTCCACTTTTGCTTATTAATTGCACAGAAAAGCAGCAGGTTTCAATAGGTAGGTGCTCTGCATTGCAAAAGACTGTTAAGTAACAACAATGTCACAAGTCCAATTCATGCAACAGCTGTGGGATTGGATGAATTGCTCTTGATGCTAAACTTTAATCCACTCCTCCATGTATATTAAAACTTGAGAAAAGATTGAGAAAAAAATGATGCTCCGAAATGTTTCATGCAACGTACAGGGCTTTGAGTCAATGAAAGCAGTGTCATGGCAGTGTTACACCCAAGTTTGTCACTGAAGGAAGGTTATATTACTCATGTCAGAGAGCTATATGTTGTTGGTGATTGAGGAACAGTTGTCATTTTTAACATTTTATTTGTTTGTTTGTTTTTTCATAAAGCATGGTACCATATTCAACTGTTAAGTTCATTGCCATATTTCAAACTTCCCACTCTCATTTTACTTTGCAGCTTTCATTTGATTGCAGTCTGTTTTGGCAGAAAATAAAAGCCATGAAAATCTTCATGGCAACAGCTGAATCAAGGGTTGCTTGGATCAATAAGAACAACAGCCTCTAGGTAAAAATCCCAGATCACTGGGGAAATGTCCAAAACTGCCCTTGAACAAGGCACATTACTTTGAAACTTCCCTAGTGGAGCTGTTTAAGGATAGAGAACTGCTTACATGGAGTAGGGTAATGTGTGAAACTGTGCCTCATGTGGAGTATTTGGCCTCTTTAAAGAGGTGGTATTATGGTTTTTGGCTTTTCCCCTCTCCTTTATTGAGTTATATATCTTTTTTGTGGATGTACTAGGTTTGCAAAGTGAAAAAGCCGAAAGTCCACCCCAAAGGGAGTTCCCATCTCCCACAGAAAACTCTGCTCTGAACTGCCTGAAAACAGTTTGTTTGTAGTCCAGCCTTTACTTCCCTTTCTTGTGATGTCACAATAAAAATACGTGTCATAATGCTCGCTGAGCAACTAGTCCGACACGCCCTCAAAAACACCGGTGGAAAAACACTGAGCTGCAGCACACACCTCTCCTCTCCCTTCCAAACACTGGCTACCCTCCATGCAGTCAATGGACATAAAGTTGTTACTGTGATGTAGAGACAGAGCTCAGTTAAAACTTTATGGATGAAAGATACTTTTGTTACAGATTAATAACTCACCACTCTGAAACTCTTGCTCCAGTCCAAATTGCCAACCGGGTCGGCAACATGTAGCCTACAGCTGAATGGAAGTTGTTTACCATCTTTTCGCTGACCTGCCTTTCTCTGCTTCTGATTGGCTATTACCAGCCTTTCACTGACCTACCCTTCTCAGCTTCTGATTGGCTAGTAGTTCTTAACTAGGAATTGCGCATTTGCAACCCCAACAAAGATTATTTAGAGACAAGATGTATCACTCCATAGCTAAAACAAAGCCTTCAACACAGGGTGAAAAGAGGAGCTGCAGCAATGTGCAGTATGACAAAAAATATGGTGTTTTTTGAAAATTAAACCATGTAAACCTGTTCTGGTACAACCCCTAAATAGGATTTTGAACCTGAAAATGAGCATAATACCACCTCTTTAACACAGCACATGAGGCACACAAAGTGTAGGGGAAAAAAGAGTGTGCATTTTCAGTAAACATTCTCTGAATTAATAAATCCACCTCTAATCTGCTGTTTGACGTGAACCTATTTGTCTTTATACACCAAGTGTAACATACAATACATACATGCAATTTTAGAAGTTTAATTTTTCTAACACAATCATTTATAGTAAAACAGCAATATTTTCATATCAGTTTACGAGAGGCTTTCAGTCTGTTGTTGTACTAGGGTCTTGTTGCTCTTTCCTGGATAGAAGTCTGCCCAGCAATTCTTCTATTTATTCCTGGGCATACTAGGATTGAAAAGAAGAAGAACTGGGTAGTTGGTTTGAGTAATGATAATCACCATGGCTGAGCAGAATCAAAAGAAAAAAGGGCGAATTGCTAAAACTCAAACTTAATCAAAGCAAGCAAGACGCCACACTGTTTTGTTCAGAAATGAGCTCTTAGAAGTGCAGTGCTGAAACACCAACTGCTAAAAGCTAATGATTTTAAAGAAAATATAAAATATGGGTGTGTGAGGGGGATTAAAAAGTACTTTTGCAGATAGATAGTTTCCCCCCAGTAAAGGGAACAGCTCTTACTTTACAGGTGGCTAAAGAACAGGATGCATAATGAAAGCATAACATAAAGCAATACAATATAAAGCAATACATTCACCTGGTGAATTATATTAACCTGTTATTAAAGTAAATATCGGGTCTTGGCTGCTCATGTTCATCTTTGAAATAATAGAGGTTCCTTCCTGTGAACCACTGCAGAATAAAAATACAAAAATGTGCCATAAATTGTTTTTGCACACTTTCTGATGCCTAACTCTCCTCAGCCTGATTGGGAATTTCATATACTTGTGATCTGCTGCCAATAATTACTTATTCTTTACAGGATGGTATTGATCCAGTAAACATGTGACTAAGAGGGGTATTCACTTTTCGTAACAGCAAATACTGCCACTCTGTGTTCCAAAACAGACGGTGCTGCCTGAGAATGCTGCTTGGCTCTGCAGAACGCAGACTGCTCCAGAATCATTCCTCACTGCAAAGAACAGGCACTTTTTTACTGATTTTTTATTTCACCTAAAAGACACATTTTTCTTCAACTAAGTGATACAACCTGTCTGTGGCCGAAATGATTTCAGTTCAGGTTATTTCAATATCATGCCATTCTCCTGACACCAATTAAGTACCATGCCAACAGTAACTTATTTTAACATGTGGTGTTTCTACAAAATTGTCAAGCCTTGAACATTGCAAATAAGTGGAATTATCACATTCAATCTCAAAATAAAGGATAAATCAACAGTTACATCTCATCAGATTAGATTTGATTATAATATTAAATGCTATTAAATACCATTGCGTAATTAAGCATCAATGTCAGGCTCAACACTGTATGTCTTAGAAGATGGTTCTTTAATGGTGTATTAAAACCATCTATGCTCTAAGTTTAACAGTTCCTTCACTGTATGCCATTGGTGCAAAAAAGTATGTTTTTAAAATGTTCCTTAGAACCCTAAAATGAATGGCTAGTGCAAGACCCCTTCTAACCACAAAAAGTTAAGATTTTTACAAAAATAGGATATTTTTCAGGTCTTTTTTTAGTTCAGGTAAAACTAAATAATAAAAAATTTCCACTTAATAAAAATAAGTCATTCAGCTTGTAATTAAAATGTTGTTGTCGCCTTTATTGTGCAGTGACACTAGGAACTGATCAAAATCAACAATGTGACAAATCAGTATTAAGAACAATAACGCAATTTATATCCTGGATTGATATTGTAGTACAGTTATTAATATAGGCTATGTTTCTCTATATAGCTATGACCCTACAACCAAATATAATTAGGTTAATAACCAAAGGAGGCTCAATCAACCTTCTTTTTGCGCGTGGGCAGGTGGTTGGACAGAGGGACACACACATCCATGGCGACCTCAGTCTGAACACTCATCATGTGAGGCTGTGCAGCAGAGTAGCCTCTGTTTCGTTCTGCTGAACCACTTTCAATACCTCTGTCAGCGATGCGACAGGTCCGAAGGTAACACACACCATAAAATATTTCCAAGATCCACAGAACAAATCTAAAAATCACATATGAACAAATGATGCATGCGATTATGCGCACATTGTCATTCACACCGAGACACAATAATTATGCCTGTAAAATGAGGCTCCCTGGTTAATGTGAGTCATTTCTGTCGTGTGAAACATCATATTAATTTATCTTTGAATGCACCACGGTGGCAGATGTCATCGTTCTTTTCCAGTAACCTCTTTGCGCACAGATACCTAAATCTGATAGGCTACATGACGTGTTGCAACACAAAATCCATCCCTACTTCTTTGCATTACACCGCAAACAGATCGAATTCATTCACCAGTTATTCAGTTTCACGCTGACAGTTATAATAAATAAATTATGTGGCTGCAGTGAGGCGAAGACATAGCCACGCATTTCTAGTGTTATTTCACTTGATTAAGATGTGTTCAAAAAAAGTGTTTATTAAGAAAGTGACACTTGATCATAGAGAACTCCTGGAACTTCTGTCAAAATAAGTTCCATTCTTTAATTCCAGTGGCAGAATTTGAATTTTCACTTATCCCGAAAAGAAAATATGTCATTCACGCTCTCACAGAGAATATAAGACTTGTTAAGATGTTTCACAGGGCAGGCGGCTGGCATCTTTTAGGTAATTTCTCTGCCAAAGTCTCTCTTTAGTGCTTAACGCGCAGCCTTTGAAACCACCTTCGATTTCAGCTGTTGCATCTCAGCCAGAGGTCTAAAAGTTAAAAAACAGAGCGTTTTGATAGCTCATAGCCTATCTCATTTCCCCCAAAGACCCGATGACCGGAGCTTGTATCATTTAATTAATGCCTGGCATAACGTGCTCAAAGGCAGGTAGAGAAAACAGGGAGTTGGCGAGGAAGGAGGATCATTACGCAGGTTGTCATGACATCACCACGGGCTGGCTATAAAGCGGTGAGGACTAATATACAGAGTTAGAGGAGGACTTGAAGAGCTTTGGAGTAAAGGAAGACTGAAGCCTCTTGTGTTTAACAGCTGATTGGCTGCTGCTTCTGTCCTTCTTTCTGAACTTCAGCGCAGAGGAATCCCTTAAGAATACAAGACTTGTCAAAATGAACTTGTCCTACTTGGTAGCGTGTGGACTTATAGTCACCCTGCTTTCAGTGAGGATGGGGGCAAAACCTTTATCTCAAGCGCAGCAGAAGGTAAGAAGAAGTCACTTATATTCTTATTTCTGAGAAGTAAAGCAGTTTATTTGCTTCGCACTATTAAGCGTTGGAAGCTGAATGCTTCTTCAGAAGTGGACAGCTGTTCTGTGGTCCAGGCGCTTAAGACGTTGTTTTACGCATCATATTTCATAATTTCAGTCATGCTTAGAAATTCAGCAAGGGCACTTTTGCCCATACTGTGAATCTAAAACATCCTAGCAGATGTTTTTCTATCATTTTTATTTTCTAAACAGACTGCATGTTTAATACTGAATGATGTCTCTAACCCCTATAGACATTATAACCACCACATTTTGTTCCCCAGCATTTGTCAGTTTTAGCATCCAGGCGCCATATGACCGCTCCAAAAATAGATAAACAAACCAAAGCCTTTAGGCGGTAACCATTATAATATAAAAGTTATTTCAGAAATCTAGGAAACAACTTTACACGATGAGGATACTCAGATTGAACTTTGAATGTTTTTCCCCCAATTGTTTGCCAAAATCAAGGTACTTCACACTGGGTTTGTGCGTAAAATCACCATTACCCATAAGTTTCGCCGGTCGAATCAACTGAATAACGCAGACACTTCAGAAATAATATTAATAATCTTGAAACCCCATAGTTTTTGTTATTAGCTTAGGTGACTAGTATTTAGGATGGCTGCAAGTTGATGCCACAGTCAGACCAGAGGAGCAGGCTGCAGGCACCTGTCTTATACGACCCTTCACTGAAGGCGACAGCGATGTCTGAGGTGTCAGAGCTAAACAGTATAGATAGACGGTAAAAATGAAAGCACAGAACCCTCAAGGACCGTAACTACATTAAATATGTCATTTGTAGTTTGAATCGAAGAACTGCAGCATGTTGTGGATCTGTGTATAAGTAGTTTTTTGGTCAGACAGGATCACTATCCATCTCAGTTAATCATGTTGCGATGTGTGTAAATATAGGCAAACCTTTTTTCCCTTTTGGCCAATGCACATGGTGTTTAAAAGTGCTTCAATATGCAACATGTTGAGATTTCCACCATTTAAAATCAAGTATTATGCAAACGGATTCTCTGCTCTATTTAAATGTTATCGAAAGCATATCTTCGCACAAACGTATTTAGCTGAAGGGGACATCGTTTATTTATTTCCCCAATCTGTGTTCTAGTCTCTTAGAAGTTTGCTGGGCGAGGAGCTGGCGGAGTTTCTGGAGTCGGAGGAGAGGGAGAGGAGGCTAGACGCTGTACGCTCTCGGATACGGTTACTGCGAGATTTACGCATGGACACCCGGGCCAGAGGGATGTGGGCTCGTCTCCTTAACGACCAACCCGCACCCAGGAGACACAAATCCGGAAACAAGAAAGGGGGTTCCACGACGCGGAGTGGCTGCTTTGGACACAAGATGGACAGGATAGGAACCATCAGCGGCATGGGTTGCTAGGGCTGGAGCAGCGCTCTGATGGTGAGTTTTCTCCAAAGGCACAATCCCACATTCACTGTAACCTGACATACTAACATATACACAGAACCAGTAGGACAAAGACGAAGAAAGGATGTGCAGAAAAGGAACAATGAAGGTGGGGAAGAGGGAAAGAGACAAGAAGGAGATGAAATAATCAAGAGAGCAAGGAGAAGGGTCTAGTTCATGGAAGGATGGAGTAAAAGGATGGAGGGACAGTAGGAAAAAAATATGCATTATGTGAGGAGAGAAAGAAGCAAAAGAGGGGATGAACCCTTTAAATTTAATTTTCTCTTCTGTCAGTGGTCATCTAAGGACTACATGTAAGTGACAGGTGGGAGGAAATCATTAAAAATAGAAGAAATGAGGATAAAAGCAAGCGCAACATAAAGGTTTTCTGTTTCATGAAAGGACCTTATCTGTGTTAGTATAGCTGTAAAAAGGACAGAGGTAGGGAAGGAAAGGAGGAAGGAAGGAAGGAAGGAAGGGATGAGGGAGAAAGCTAGCAAGAAAGACAGAACAAACAAAGAAATTATGTTAAGTCGGATTATTGTTCTTGGTTGTCAGTGTGTGCTTTGTATCCATAGCTAGACCATCTTAGAATACAAATCCTAGCGGCAGCAATATATAGTAGAGAAGGCGGAGAGTGATGACAGTCTGGGTCAGAGGTCAGCTGGATGTTAAAAATCACATTCAACTACAGTACATGGCATTAACCTCAGGTGATTCTTCATTGTGGGAAAAGTTGATACTTGAGATCGTTGGATGGGCATGACATCGCAAACTTGTGATATCATTAAATGTCGACCTGTCTGGCAGTGTTCCATCCTCAGACAGGAACCCCCTTAAAGCAGCAGGAAAGTCCATTTATCCAACAGATGTATGGAACAATCCAGGGAAGTCCATGCAGATCATCATGAATGATCCCATCTGCTTCATCTAGAAACACGTGGCATAGCGTTTATCAAGTTTAAGAAGAAAAAAGCAGAGGACAGGGCAAGATGGTGGAAGGAGAGGCTGGCATGCGAATGCACACACATTATAAACACACAGACACCCTGTGGTGGCAAGGATCCTTCTGGGAAACCTCTTTACCCAAGTGATTTTAACAAAAACAACAAAGTGACTGTGGCGGTGAATGAAGTAATGAGGAAGCGAGGTGACGCACAATTAGTCCTGAGGCTTGGCGTCTTTTTGTGGTTGTGGCAAACTGTGAAGCGCTGACAGGGGAGTGTGACTAACTCAAGCGAGTGAGTGTGTGTTTTTCATAAGCCAACACATGTCTTTCTGACAGTGGGTTGCAGAGTATTGTAAATGTGGAAGTCTGTGTTAGACGTGTGTTGATTGAGGTGAAACGGTTAAGTGAAGAATCAGAGCAACACTTTAACTAAGCGTGGAACCGATTCACAGAATGATGATGGACTAGAGGGCTATGCTGATGAATACACATTAGATTATAACTGCTACATTACTGAATAAATGGACTTGTGTGAATTGAGTTGTTTCTGAATGCTTAGTCTAACCTTACTTTTGTGTCCTCTCTTTCTGTAGATCTCTGAACGAAGGGTTTGGATAACAAAGGTTCTGTTTGTTCTCACCTGAGGGGGAAAAAAGAAAAACTCACCAAGTGACATTTTCGGTACGAAAGTCATCACGACCAGCATAAACAAAGACAGAGATGACAATGCTACAAAAATTTCATATACATATATATAACAAATATGCAGGCATATATACATATATAAATATGTGTATATTATCCAAATGGTCAACAGACACAAACACAGATGCATACTACAAGATGGCGGACAATGGTGTAAAAACTACAAACCGCAAAGCTGTATATTGTTGCTGCTGCTGCTGCTGCTGTACATTCATGTACTTCATCTTTCCCTGCATAAATGTATTTATGTTTAAAAAACTATTTATATGTTTATAAAAAGAGATATTTATAAATATGAGTTTTATTTATGTAACATTTTGAAAATGGATGCAAACTGCAGGTCAATTCTGTTTGTAACTTTTTTCTTTTGTCTCAAATAGTTGTAAATGTTTTCAAAAATGATAAAAAGAACATTCCATGTGCACTCACATGTGTCCTCTCAGGGTTTTATGTTTCAGTGAAGTGGGTCAATATTAATTACTGAATGTTTTCTGCATGGCTCACGGGTGAAAAAGCGGTATCTTGGCTACATCAGCATGTCAGGAGCTAAGAAAAAAAGGTGCCTTGTTGTCAGCTTGACCACTATTCATTGCTATGCAAAAGGTTTTGTTAGCAGTGAGTGTAACAAAACTCTATACCAATAGAGGAACAAATCACCTACCTGAGGAATAGCATCATAATAGATTAAGGCTAAGTTGGATAGTTCATTTATTTCCCCCTTCATTCGACTTGTACCTTGCAGAGTTGGACACTTTTAACATTTGGTGCAAAGCAAAGATTAATACAGAAAAACATTACCAAGAAAATGGAAATATAACATTTCATATAACATATACATAACATATACCATTACATTTTATATTTACACTGTGACCCAGAGTGACTTAGAGTGAAAGCAATCACAAAATCAGCAACCATGTTAATCACTAATTGTAGTCAGGAAGTCAGTGGGCCAAAGAAGCAGAAATCTTAATAATGTTACTGTAATCCAGAGTTTTAGCATCCAATGCAATATGAAGAATACATATGGTGTTGGTAGACTTAGGGGGCAGGGGAGATGAAAAGATTCTTACAGCAGTACATTTTCAGGTTTTGTTGCAGTAATACTTGGAACTTGCAGCCAAGTCAAGCCTCTACTTCCAAAGTTTTATGATGGTGGTAATAATAATGCCTACCTTTATTCATATGCCATGTATTTAAAAGCAGTTCAAGTGAAAAGGCACCAAAGGAAAACAGTATGCAAAAAAGGACATAAATTTGTGAGGTATTCAAAGAAACAAACAAGCAACCCAAGAACATATGATGAAAACATATAAAGGCAAGTCTATAAAAGTGTGTTTATGAGGAAAACGTGATAATGAATTAGTTAGCTGAAGTTTCTGAGACAGGTTGTTCCACAGTCTTGTGGTATAATCACCCACAAGGGAGTTGAGAGTCAGGCCATGACCATAATTTGGAGGTTTACCATACCTATATAGAAGTCCAAATAATTTTAAGGAACAGTTTTTCAAACGTACTAACCTTAACCCTAACCAAAAAAAACTGCTCAAACAAGTGGTTAAACACTGACGACTTACACACTAGAGGGCAGCATCACAAGCAGACGTCTGTAGAATATGCACATTGTGTCTGTGAAGATTCTCAGTCATCCAGGTCATAGTTATCCAATGAAGGTATAGTCAAGGGCAACTGGAATACTGAAGAATCTTCAACCAAGTCCAGTTGCCCTTGACTTTAACCTTCATTGGATAATATGCACATTACACCCCCATCACAATCTACCTACAGAGGCTAACCTTGTTATTTGTAATATATGTGTCTTGTATATATATAATATATAATATATATAATGTATCCCAGCTGTTGTATTATCACAGTAGTGATAGTGATTTCACTCATACAAATACATGATGAGGTATTAATTGAAAAGAACAAAAAGAAAACTGTATTCAGTAGAGGCTGGCCACAATCTGTGACACAATAGGGTAAGTGCTATGTTCACCCTGAAAAACACAAAAGACATCGCCTGACACTATCACCTGTGTCTCCATCCTCCAGCTCTAGTCCACCCACTCCACATCCCAAATCTCAATAGGGCCTCTTTCCACAACTGTCGATCTCCAAGGCCCCCTATTTCCCTACCACAGTGACATTTCTGTCCAGGAAGGGGACACTGACATGCTTTTCAAGAGACAGAACCCTCTCTAAGACGCTGGGCCAGACCCTGTCTCTCCATCTACCCCAAAGCACTGTGCTGATCAGCTGTTTCCGTGTCCACAGACATCTAAACCTTGCTGGAGACATGCCATGTGCCAGTCTGCTTGAATCCTCCACCATCATCCCAGTCCCCAAAAAACCAAGGACCACAGGACTTAGTGACTACACACCTGTCACCCTGACCTCTGTTGTGATGAAATCATTTGAATGCCATGTGCTATCACACAAATCCATTACTGACCCTCTCCTAGACCGACTGCAGTTCACCTACAGAGCCAATAGGTCTGTAGGTGATGATGATGCAGTAAACATGGCCCTTCACTTCATCCTCCTGGATTGTTCGTGAACCTATGGCAAGATGCTGTTTGTGGACTTGAGCTCTGCTTGGACTCATTTCTGGTGGGGATGGGTCCACCTGGGAGATTGACCATCTGGTGACTTAGTATCCTCCAGAGTTGATTAATGTAGGGCCACTCTCTCTGGGCTCCCCAGCTGTGCAGCCAGAATCCTGACAAAAAGTAGAAAATTTGACCACGCAACACCATTTCTGACCCTCTCTTCACTGGTCACCAGTGCAGGCAAGAGCTGACTTTAAGGTCCTCCTTTTCCATCCTACCTAGCTGAGCTAATTACACCATATACATCGGTTCGCCTTCTTCGCTCTCTCAATGCTGGTCTCCTAGTCAATCCTTCGTTTAACAAAAAAATCAGCTTGCTACAGAGCTTTCGTCTACCATGCTCCCTATTTATGGAATGACCTCCTACTATGTGTTAGGAAATCACGTTCAGTGGATATTTTTAAGTCAAGACTGAAAACCTACTTGCTCTCACGTCATTACAGCCTCTCCTAGAATTCTTGTTGGGTTGAGCACCTTCTAATATCCTCTTGATCTTAAGTTTTTAAATGTAGCTGTTTTATCTTCTTTATCATTCATTTTCTTGCTGTTTTACCCTTACGTGTTTTAAATTGTTTATTATATCTTGTGTCTTCTGTATTTTATCCTGTGTATTATGTTTTTACTCTTTTGAATTTTATACTGTTTTTTAGAAAGTGTATTGGGACCATGCTGCATGGTAGGTTTGCATTGTTAATAAAATTGGAGATGATTGTTACATTGATTACATACCAGTTGACACTGTGGAGTCCTTCCACTTCCTGGGCACCATCTTCACTCAGGATCTCAAGGGGTAGCATCAGCTCCCACACTAGGAAAGCCCAGCAGAGGATATACTTCCTGAGGCAGCTGGAGAAATTCAACCTGCAAAAGACAATGATGGTGCATCTTCCCCACCTCTTTCACTATCTGGTATGCTGCTCCTATGTCGAGAACAAGGGCAGACTGCAGTGTCACAATCTCTCTGCGGAGAAAGTGTTTCGCTGCAATCTGCCATCCTTCCAGGACCGGCATGCCTCGAAGACTCTGATGAATGAACACAAACTGTTTCAGACATTCCCCTCCTGCAGGACACTGAGGTCCATCACTAACAAAACCTCAAGCCACAAGAACAGTTTCTTCCCATCCACAGCTGACCTCATCCACAAGGCTCAGGACCACAACTGACAATGTCTCCCACACCATCTTAATCCTGACATTAATTGAATTGTTGTATAAAATTATAAAACTTATACAGATTTTATGTTGTTTTTATTTCAGAACACTCATAGTAAGGTCACAGGTGGTGTTTGAAGAATGCAATTTCCTTCATAAGTTAAGGAACTACATATATTTGTCCTTGAAAAAACAGCTCAAGGGATAGTGAATGAAAACACACTGTTTTGTAGAAATACTGCAGTAAATAACTCATAATAGCAGAAAATTGTTCTTTTGTATTTAACTCCATAAGCAATGATGCAAACACTGGCAATAAATATTGACATTTTAAGAAACTTTACCAAAGATTTACCACTGTATGCCTTTACCAACAATTTACAGCTGAGTTTAAATCTTGCCCTGGTCTGTTTTGGGTGGTTGCCCAGAAATAAATGTGCATTTCCCTGTGATAAAGGAAATCCTTTCTGACCTAAAATCCCAGGATGCATCTATTTCACACCCTGCTCTTACTATTTGTTGGATTTGCTCAATTTAATCCATCCCTGCAAAACAGCGGAGAATAACAGGTGCAGACAGGGTGGTTGGAAAGGTGGAGAAGAATGCTGTTGTTCATGCCGTGAATTCAGCATAGTTCATCTGAAGACACGTAAAGGTGACAACACTTAGAAACCAGATTTTGTGTTAAATCATCAGGTGGAATACAATCCAAACACCAGAAACAGAGACTGAATATTATATCGAATAAACACTGAAAGATGGGGGAATTTAAATGCTGAAACACACAACTGATGTTGGTTCCAAATCACAATTGCTATAAATTCTAATTATTTTATTTATACATTTCACACCACTGCCTGCTACAACCGATTTATCAAACAAATTAAACTTAACAGAGATTGTTTTATTCATGTAACTATTCCAAAGGAACACAGAGCAGGGAACATACAGCAAGAATAAGAGATTTGAAAGGCAGAACACACATTATTGAAACAGGGAAAAGAATGAAACAAAAGCTTTTCAGGCATTAATATGATTTATACTGTACCTGTCTTTACGAATAGACAGGTACAGTATAGTGACAGCCTGTTTTAAGGTTTTAGCTTGTGGGGCTAATCATCAGAGTTCAAAAGACGTCATCAGGATAGTGACAAACAGTTATGTTAAGTTGTTAAGACTGAGCAAAGTCTACAAAACATACAATCTAGGCCTACTTTAAAAATACAATGTAACAGGAGATTTTTGAAACAAGACATGTACGCAAAAAGTACAAATGTAAAATAAGAAACCTAATGAATAAAGCTTAAAAAGTCCTAGAAGTTATATTACCTCTCACTATAAAATGATGGGTAGCCTTATTTCACTGTGAGACTCATATCATGAAATCCCTTTCATTTTATTTATTTAGCTGGTCGAAAAGGAACTGTTTCCTCTCTCCAGTGCTCTGGGAAATAACTAAAGGATGTAAAATGCAATGCTGCCTCTGTGTGGTGTTGAGGGTTAATTACTCGAATGCATTGTTGGTGTCCCCGGGGAATCAATGGAGTATTGGGTGAAATACTGTATACCTTGTACACATGCATACACAAATACAGTCAAGGAACATTGTCTCCAGAACAGCTAGAAAATGGACCTTTTGGTGAGATGTTTTGTCAACTACTACAATAGTCTTTTCAGTCTGGTGGTTATCTATTCTGTAGCACACATTTATTATCTTTATTTCTTGTTTTTTAAATCAATGATGGAAGAACATTATGATTTTTTTGCTGGAGGAAAAGTAATAATACCAAGCCATACTAAAAGTCTTGCATTCTGTCTTTCTTGCATAAGCAGAAAGACAGAAGTATTATGAGCATAATTTAATTAACTCACCAAAAGTAGCCTACATGTTAGGAACAAAGCACCGCCTAACTTGTTAGTTTCTGATTTAACATCATTTCTATTAATGCATTCATTTAAAAGCAGATTTTATTGTTGGGGGTTGTCAATGCGGAACTTTTTCACCTACTTAATTGGCTACTGTTAAGTACTTATAGACTAACCTATAAACTTAAAGACCTAATTGCATTATATATATTTTATGATGATATGTAAACTCTTAATCTGTAAAGTAACTTGTAGCCTACCTTAATGGCAAGTAAATGTAATAAATAGTGAATTTCCTCCTTCCTTAAATCTATTGGAGAGGAAGTACACAGCAGCATTAAATGGAAGTAGTAGGCTAAAGAAGTAGCCTACCTCACATTTGTAAATTAGGCCTACTTGTGTATACGTTGTTAAACAGCTCTGTACAGCTGGTAGCGTAGTGTTCTGCATAGTAAGCTACATGTGGTTGATGGGCGATGGCAATTGCTCGAACCACGTGGTTCACACAGCTGCATGGTGACATAAAGACGCATTGTAGCCTAGTGAGTGACAATACAACAAATATAATGTAAAAATGTCAGTATAGCATTTATAAATTTGTCGACTATTTTTATTTGTCTCAACACTTTAAGTTAAATGACAGCCATATGGAATTAACTTTTGAATGTCTCTTACTAAATTCAGCATGCCACAGGCCTACTACAGTCTACAGAAGCGTAACATTTCATTGAATCTTTGACTATACTATTTCACCGCGTGATTATTTATTTAATGTATTTATTTATATGTGCCGGTGTTAGTGGTTACAAAAAATCTTTTGTCTGCTGAGTAATATTTTGCATCGTGTATCTATGTCAGCGAGGCGCGGGCACGATGCAAATATACCACCTTGTGATTGGTGGAAACAGTCGCTTGGGCGGGCCTACGTGAACGCGCATAGCAAGAGAGTAACGAGAGCGTCTTGAATTTATCCGTCTTTCCTGTCCCATGTCCCATCGAGCAGGCTGAGCCACGTGTATGCTGTAACTATTTCGTTACTTCTCTCCAAACGTCCAGTTCCTTGTGTTTCATTGAAACACACGACAGCACCATGGTGAAATTAGCAAAGGTAAGGCCAAATGGCGTCCATTTTACGCTACAGTATAAACGTGTGTATTTGAGATAGAAAGCTGTGTTTACGCATGAGGCCTTAACACGAACGAAGTTTCTGCGTTTGTGACAAAAACGAAACTATCAGCAGGGGAAAAGTCTGCTCATGTCACACAAATAATTTTCCCCCTGCTAATTTATTACACAGGTTCTGCAACTGTCTGCGTGGTCGAAAGAGCATGGTGGAATAGCACTCGTACTAAACGTTTCTTCTCGGTTTAGGTCGGCCATGTTGGTGCCTTGCCGTTGATTTTCCGGCCTGGCCTGCTAACGTGAGCTAACCGACGTTACTCAAGATGGCATTCACGCGCGTTCTCGCCAGAAGCAACGGGGTTTAGATACACATAGAAGGGATTAACTGGCGTGCCTCCAACGAATACCAGTATTTCTAATGTTATTATAAAGACAGATAAATTTGTCTATAATGCTAACTAACGTGTGATTTGTTAACTGTTAGCATTAGCACGATGTTTAACGGACCAATTGCGTAGCGGGTGCTTAACGTTATTTCGAGTTGGTCAATCGAAATTCCCTTTTAACAGTAACAACTCGAATAAGAGATTCGTGCTCTACTTTCTACGGTAGCTTTTTTCCTTCTCTATAGCCTTTCAGCATGTGTTTAAAAGCGTGTCCGCAAACGCTGACTTAGCCAACATGCTACCAGCCCGACGTCTTGGGCTCCACGTGGGTTGTGCGCCTGCTCTGAGTGACACACGAGGTAGGGAAACCAGATTACCGCCGAGACAGACGGTCACTAAACGTGGTTTATGTTTATCCAATGAAAATAGTTTAAATAACAAGTGAGCATAATTAAATCACACGTTTTGGATGAGGCGGGTGGGGGTTGGGTTTTAAGTACCTCGTGGTGTAAACTCCTCATGTCGGCAAACATGCTGCTGATGTCTGGAGTAAATTGCCATAATTTACAGCTGGATTTTATTCTCTAGCAACACACGTGCCTAGGCTAGTATGAGCAAAGGTACCGTTTTTGAATAACTTACATTTACATCTTTTCCTCCTCCTGGCAGGCAGCAAACAAGCAAGCAACTCAGAAGAAAAAAGCCCCTCCACCCCCAAAAGAAGTGGAGGAGGAATCTAGTGAAGAGGACAGCAGTGATGAGGAAGAAGAGGTACAGTATAATGTTGTTTTCTACGTTTGGCATAGTCTTGAAGTTTCTGGACAAAATAGTGATATTTAAATTTTTTTTGTTTTTGCAGACTCCTCCACCTAAAGTGGTGAAGAAAGCCACACCAGCCAAAGCCACACCAGCCGTTAAAAATGGCGCTGCTGCCAAAAAAGCAGAAAGTGAAGACGACGACGATGATTCTGGTAAGCCATGAAATTTGACAAAGCTAAAGTAAATTTGATGTGAGCTTTCAAGCAGTCTGTAGATGTCAGCTGAAATGTTACGTGCTGACTTGTGGTGAGAACAAGCTTACACTGAAATAAACACAAGAAATGAGAAATGCAAATCATTATTTGGGTGGGTCAAACCAAATGAATGGGAAGTAGTGATGCACTGCTCTTGACAGATTTGGCAGTAGTCAGACATGATGGGTGACCAGGAAGTGAAATTAGTTTGATACAGTAGTTAAAACATTGTAATGCAAGATCATAAATCCTTGAGGAAAATCTAAGCTCTAATCTATCATGCAAGAATAACTTAAGTTCCACACAGTTGGGGGGGGTGGGGGGGTATATATAAAAATTTTGGGAAAATATTGTATGGCAGGAGAAAACGTATTTCAATCCCGTTTGAATTCTTCCGTGAATTACACACATGATCTTTGACAAATTAAAAGATTTTAAACTAAAGGGTCGTAGTTTGATGTAAAACTGAGAAATAAGACTGTGAAAATGCTTAATTACAAAGACCACAAACCCAAACGTATATGTAATGACATAACTTATTCTGTCAATGACTGAAGCTAACATCAAAACACTTACATGAGGATGATGTGATAAAAGAGCCAGGAGTTGTTGTATTAAACACATCGGGTGAGATATTTCTGCGTGGAACATGGCTATTATCTAGTAGCAAGAAGGCAGTGAACATTGGCTAGCTCTACTGCAACATGTTGGTGACGTATATTGTGCGAAACGAGATGTAGTTCATTGAGCGGTTTCACACTAAATGACATGTAACTTTACTGTTTTACAACAAACAGACTTTCTTGACTTGCAAAATTATATCTTAAATTGACAAACGTGTAATTCAGGGCTCAATTCTAATGGGGGGGGGGTTGTGCCATTGACTACGTACATATTTTCCGAAATAAGGTCTCATGAGCCGGAAGCAGAAGTGAGTGTCTATATGATCAAAATAAGGACAGGTGATGCAAAGTCAGTTCAGGGAACACACATTTGCGCTCACGACAAACGTGGGTTAATCTTAAGTCATATTCTTAATATTTATATGATTTTGTGAACTTTGCCAACCTACAGAGGAGGAATCTGAAGAGGAGGCCCCCCCACCAAAAAAGACTCCTGCAAAAGCAGCACCGGCTAAACCCACACCAGCCAAGGCAGCCCCTGCAAAGGCTGAGGAGTCAGATGATGATGATGACGACGACGATGACGGTAAGATCTACCGCATTGCTTCAGGACAAACATTTTGTCTCAAGTGTCATTTTTATGTTAAACTGCTTCTTTATATTTCATTTCACATAAAATCTTCCATTTTAAGAAAATTGTCACGCACCCTCCATTTCTTGACATGCATGTGGTTGTTTGGTACTCATGTGTGGTATGTACGGAGGAAAAGTAAATGCAGTGTTATGTCTTCGGTGCTGGTATGTATTTTAAAGTCTGCCAGTTCTATCCTCAATCGCTGCTACATTCTTTCCTTGGATGACTTTTGGTGACATCTAAAGGGATTTTGCCTTTGTAGTTTTCTCCATTTCCCCACCATGCAGTTTTCGTTGGAATTTACAATTGTGAAATGTGTATTGTTTCTAGATGAGTCAGAAGAAGAGGCCCCTCCTCCCAAGAAAGCGGCAAAGCCTGCTGCTAAACCTGCTGTCAAGCCCCCAGTGAAGGGTAAACCTGCAAAGGAGTCCTCTGATGATGATGATTCAGAAGAAGAGGCCCCACCCCCCAAGAAGGCTACTCCAGCTAAACCAGCTGCCAAAAAAGCTGCAAAGACCCAGGCTGCCAAAGAGGAGTCTGACGACGATGAAGATGGTTAGACCAAACCTTTTGATTTAGAATGTGTTTCTTATATTGGATAATACTATGTGTGGAGTTGCTGACTTGTGAGTTGCAGTCAAGGGGGTACATGATGATCAACAAGGGACTTAATACTGATTTTTGTATGATGTCACCTTTTTTATGGATCTGATTCAGGTTGATAGCAGGTGGTTTGAATTTGGTCTCAACGACTGATGTAACTCTTAACAAGCCTGTCTTTTGTTCCTTAGACTCTGAAGAGGAGATGGACACCACACCTGCTCCAGCATCTGCAAAGAAAGCAGGCATGGTCAAGGCCAAGGAAGAGTCTGAAGAGGAGGAGGACGACGACGACGACGACGAGGAGGAGGATGAGGAGGACGAAGAGGGTGAGTTTAAGTAATGGGGAAAATTTTGTGGTTCACCTGCCAAATCTATCTAATTTATTACATATGTTTCATGTTACTCTCACCTGACTTTCTGGCTAAATACAAATTCCAAAAATAAAACCAATGTGCATATTTTGGATACAAAACAGATCTGCCTGTATCAGACCTTCATCCTGTCTTTGCTGAATCAATTATGTACCACTTCTGTCTCTACAGAAGCCCCAGTGACTCCTGCAAAGAGGAAGGCAGAGGGCAAAAAAGATACCCCTCCTGCCAAGAAGGCAAAGTCAGAAGGCGAAGGTAGGAATAAATGCACTAACCCATCAATCTAATTTCAATATTGTATCGTGATGATCAACAAGGGACTTAATACTGATGTGTGATGTCACCTTTATTATTCTGAATCTGTCTGGCATAATTAAAACTACTTTATTTTTATTTTTTTTTAACAAAAGTGAAACTCAGTGGAATTTTACACTCCATTTTCCAGGTTTCTGTCTGTTTGTTGGGAACTTGAACTCAAACAAAGACTTTGATGAAATCAAAGACGCCCTGAGGAAATTCTTCTCTAAGAACAGCCTTGAGGTCGCCGATGTCCGGTTAGGTGGATCCAAGTAAGCGGTCAATTTAAGAATACGTTTAATAGTACACACTGTCAGTACTTGCTTGTAATGCACAGGGGTATGTGTGTTAATGGGGATGGACGGACAGGGCATTAGGAGAGGGTTCTGACTGCAAGTTTGTTTTTGTTTTCCTTCTGTCTAATGGTGGTTGCATGACTTGCCTCAAAAGGAAATTTGGCTATGTGGAGTTTGAATCTGAGGAGGACATGCAGAAGGCACTGGAACTCAATGGCAAGAAGTTCATGGGTCAGGAGTTGAAGATGGACAAAGCCCGATCCAAAGAAAGCTCACAGGACAACAAGAAAGGTAAGGCCTTCATTGGGTGCCTTTGTATATCTATGAAAGCTAAAAACACCCACACTGACGCTTATCCCACAGATTTTTTTTTTTTTTAACATTTTAAATGAATACTTCACTCACCCTCCATTTCTTGGCACACATGTGGTTGTTCAGTGCTCATGTGTGGTATGTAAGGAGGAAAAGTAAGTGCAGCGCTATGTCTTCGGTGCCGGTGTGTATTTCATGTCTGCCGGTTCTATCCTCAATTGCTGCTACATTATTGCCTTTTAATGGGCTTTAGTGGGGTCTAGAGGTTTTGCTCTCTGCAGAGTTTCTCAAAATGTACATGAACTGGGACATGTCCAAGCAGCCTAAAAAAAAATTCTGAAGATTTTAAGAAATTCCCCATACTCAACTGACACTGACATTTGTCCCACAGAGAGGGATTCACGGACGCTGTTTGTAAAAAATCTTCCCTTCTCTGCAACGTCTGATGACCTGAAAGAAGTCTTTGAAAATGCATTTGACATCAGGGTACCCATTGGCCAGAACGGTTCCAACAGGGGGTAAGAACAAGCCAGCATGGGTTTTTTTTTTTTTTTTTTTCTGCACATGCCTGAAAGTCTCATCCATATGTTTATGTAGTGTTAGAGGGCTAGGTTTACAGTCTGTAAATGCGCTGTGATGTCTTCAGAGCACAAACACACCTCCCTAGCACGACGCTGTTACCCCGAAACAATGTAGCTGCAGTTTATTTTACAGTCGATAGGCACTATAAGCGACCCATGTTTGTTTTATACACATGTATCGACTCATCTTTTTACAAACAAGTAATCTCTTCTCATTTGACAGCATTGCCTATGTCGAGTTCAAAACTGAGGCCGAAGCAGAGAAGATGCTGGAGGAAGCCCAGGGAGCTGATGTACAGGGGAGGTCCATCATCATTGACTATGTTGGAGATAAGAGCCAGAAAGGAGGCAGGGTGTCGGGTAAGCTGACATTTTGGGAAGCTGTGGAGCTAGCTTGGTAGTTAAACAGTAGAATTCTTAAGTAGTTACTTAATAGTTTATGTGCAATAGTTAATTATGCCTACATTTATAGTAAGGAAGCAGGGCATGCCCAATCGTAGGTAAAGTTTGTAAACTGTTTTAGTTGTGCGCAACATAACTTGTTCGTAGTGGTGCCAATGCAGCTTGAGCATTGACTGGTTCATTGAAACATGTTAATTGCCCCTTATCTAAACTAATATTGATTTATGAGTATTAAGCGTTGTACCATGTTTTACCTATTGGATCAAAGAATGCCTTTTATTCATCTCACCAGTTTCCTTTCTTCCTTCTTTCCCTGTAGGGGCAGGATCAGCCAGTAAAACACTGGTAGTGAATAATCTGGCCTTCAGTGCCACAGAGGAAGTCCTGCAATCCACTTTTGAGAAGGCTGTCTCTATAAGAATCCCGCAGAGAGATGGCAGACCTAAAGGGTAAGTGTCTATATGACAACTATATTGATGGGCCCAAGAGGATTTTGTATCTATGTGTTGTCATTTTTCATCCTCAGAGCTCTAGCATTAAAGCTCAAACTGCCACACCTTCTCATGAGCTCCTCTTAATCTTACCCATGATTCTGTATTGGATTCGCACGAGAAGCAGAGCAAACGCAGAGTTTGCACATGCTCACCCTACAATCATATGGGGTGTTGCCCATGTCTGCTGTGCAACAAATACAAATGTTTAATTGTTGAAGGGGGGGGGGGGGACTCAATTGCAGTGGAAGATACTTCAGTCAGCCAATGTTTACCCTTTCTAATGTTATGCTGCTTCTCTTAGTTTTGCTTTTGTAGAATTTGAGAGCACAGATGATGCCAAGGATGCCCTGGAAAACCTCAACAATACAGACATTGAAGGCCGGTCAATCAGACTGGAGTACAGCCAGAACAGTGATGGCAGGGGACAAGGGGGCAGAGGAAACTCCGGTAAGTCTTCAAACATTACCGATGTGAAACTGAAGAGTGGTCTGTGTTTGGATATTATCCCATACTGACTTAAATTAATTGAGCTCAGTTTGTAAGCACGGCCAGGTGTGATGAAAACTTGACCTCCTGAAACTCTGTGACGATTCAAAGATAGTCAAGTCCTGAACTGGTCTGTTTGAAACATTTGTATTGGTCCAGATGATGATCATTGTGATGTATAAAATCTAAACAAGACAAATGTTATAACGTTATAATAATGGCTTCCTTTTACTGCCAGGTCCAACAAAAACCCTCTTTGTCAAGGGTCTCTCTGAGGACACAACGGACCAGACACTTAGGGATGCTTTTGAGGGCGCCGCAGCAGCCAGGATAGTCACAGACCGAGAGACAGGGTCATCAAAAGGGTAAGTTTGTAGAGTTGTAAATATTCCCTCTGGCTGTCGACTCTTCTCGTGAGCACCGCTCTGTCCAGCAGTGACAGTGTACGGATTCGCATGAGAAGTAGAGAAAACTCCCAGTTTAACAGGCACCTACCTTAGTGGTAGTTGCCCATGTCTGATGTGAAACAATCAACAGTAATGTGGGTGATTGGGACTGTAATGTGGGGAAAAAAGCATTCTAAAATACAATCATACTCTACTCTGTTAAGTATTCCAATCATTCTTATCTGATTTATTTAAAATAGTCACTTATTTAATGTTTGAATATTTTCTATTTTTGTTGACTTTTAGTGAAGTAAAGCCTTTTCTTACCCCCTCCGACACAGCTTTGGTTTTGTAGACTTTGACAATGAGGAGGACTGCAAGGCAGCCAAGGAAGCCATGGATGATGGTGAGATCGATGGCAACAAGGTGACCCTCGACTACGCCAAGCCCAAGGGTGAAGGCGGCTTCCGCGGAGGGCGTGGTGGATTTGGCGGTCGTGGTGGTGGCAGAGGAGGTCGCGGCGGATTTGGTGGGGGCTTTGGAGGCGGCTTTGGTGGCCGCGGTGGAGGCAGAGGAAGGGGTGGCCCTCGTGGAGGTGGACGTGGACGTGGTGGCTTTGGAGGTAAAGGAAATTGAATTTGTTTGCTTAGAGGGAGGATAAGGGTGAAGCTAATGTCCATCTGCTAACATTTCCTCTTTTGAAGTTTCATTGTTTTGATAATCAGAAAACTGTCAATACTTTGGCAAACGTTAAGGGGCTGATGTCAACCAACTTTACTGTTCATGGCAATATCATTTTAATTTGGATTGGATCATACCTATTGGCCTTCAGGGTCGAAGCAGATAATTGAGGATAGTTGTAGTTGAGTTGAACTTGATGATGCCGGCTGGTAAATTAAGTTTCCTCTGTTCTCATTTTAGGTGGAAGAGGTGGCGGTGGATTTGGAGCTAAACCCCAGGGGAAGAAAATCAAGTTCGATGACTAAATCCTTAGTCTGTTTTACTTTTTGAATGGACTCTGGTTTCATCACTTTTCAGAGCTTTTGGACATTCCAGAAAGCGTCATTGATATATATTTAACTGTTAACGGGCATTTTAGCCCTTTATTTAGACCCCTCAAACCTTTCCCCACCCTTCTGTGCCAGACTGGTACTTTTGATCTTCTCAGCTCAAGTGCTACGTGTTAGTACTGAATGTCCCTAATGCAAACCTGCACCTCTCGCCCTCACTTGCTTTTCTGAAGGAGTTAAATGGAATGGGTCTGGCAAACAAGTTTGCTGTGAAAAATATGCTCGTCTTTGTCAGATACATTGTGTAAATTTAAACAGTTTGTATGATTTCATTTTACCTTTTGTAAAAACAAAAATACACTTGTATCCTTATGTTTTTTGTTTTTATTTTGTCATTTAGTTTGATTTAGGTGCCATGTTTTACTGTAATGTGCAAAGCATATTTTGATAAAAGATTTGAGTCAGTGCTATTGGGCTTGGTTGTAAGAATATGGCAAAGATGTTCTGTCATGTCTGTTTGGTGGGGCACAGTCAGTGTCTGAGTTAATGAGGATAAAGACCTCTTATCTATGTAACATAAAATATTTGTAGTGCATTGACTAATTTTTTTCCCATCTGAGAATCTCAAGATTTTCATGTGATTAAATAAAATCTTGTAGGTGGTGATTTTTAAATGTCTGTCCTCATTGCACTCATGTCCGTCTGAAGCATTGAATAAGATTTAATCAGGGTGAGAAGTTAAATGTTCAATTTCATTGCAAAGTGTGGTACATCAACTGACTTGTTACTTTATTTAATGCAGCTAACTGCATCTAATGCAATATAACATTCCTTCAATAAACTCTACCTTGATGAAGCTTGTCAAAATCAGTTAAGACTGTTAGTTGTTTCAACTAGTAAGTATATAGAGGCTGATGTATGGTGCTGTTGGATTGTATTACAACATGGTTCAAACCAGCTGACAGAAATGGGAATAGACAGGTTACAGTTGTCTGAAGTTTACATAAACATCGCTAAATGCGTTTAACCTCAGTGTTTCACATTTGTTGACATTTAATCCTAGTAAACATTTCTAGTCTTAGGTCAGTTTTTTTAAGACTGTAAAATGTCAATGGCAGATTATTTCTTTAATCACACTCAATGGATCAGATGTTTAAGTTCACAGAGTTGGTATTTGGTAACTCTGACTGAAATAGTTTAACTTGGGTCAAACGTTTCAGGTAGCCTTCCACAAGCTTTGCTTCTCACAATATGTTGCTGGAATTTTTGGCCCGTTCTTCCTGACGGTACTGATAACTGTCAGGTTTGTAGGCCTTTGTGCTCGCACATGCCTATGTCTGCCCACAAATTTTGAATTGGATGGCCACTTTAATACTTGAAATTTTGTTTCGTTTTGCCACAGCTTTGGAAGCATGCTTTGGGTCATAGTCCATTTTGAAGACCCAGTTGCGACCAACCCATAACTTCTTGGCTGGTGTCTTGAGATGTTGCTTCAATATATCCGCATAATTTTACCCCCTTATGAGGCCAGCTATTTTGTGAAGTGCACAAGCCCCAAAGCACTTGGGCTTCAGTCGTATGGTGTCTTTTGTCTTACAACTTTAACCCTTTTTCCTCCAAACATACGATGGTCATTATGACCATACAGTTAAATTTTTATTTCACCAGAGAACAATTCTCCGAAAAGAACATAATGAAAGTTTCACTTAATTAAATCACAGAAGAAAATAAACTTTTAACAATATTCAAATTGAGACGCATCTGTAGTGCGTGTAAAAATCTGGCCTACTGGAAGTGTGATATACTGAATTGTAATTGAAATAATCTGTCTCTAAACAACTGGTCGAAAAATTACTTTTGTAGTAGATGTCCTAATATACTTGCCAAAACTATAATTTGTTACTACAACCTAAGCGTATCAACTTCCAACTTCATCTATAGAACCTGCGGAGCATCCATATTATGTACATTTGTTAAATCCAAAAGATCTGGAGTGGATAGAAGAGTCTTAATTCTAAGTGTAAGCCAATATTTGATAGTTATAGTGATAACTTGCACTTAACCTTGTCTAGCCTTTGTATATTCAGAAAATGCTATAATAATAGCTGATGACAAACTCGTTTTTTTCACTAGGTGGCAGTCTCCACATGTGGAAAAGGGCCAGTGTTGTCTACACATAGAACTGTGCACACTGACTATTTCCAAGCGATGCTAAACTGGGCGTTGGAAGACTTTAGGTTAGCATTGAGGGCCCTTACAGCCATGGAGTCTTTTGTGTCATTCTGCCATTACAAAACAAAAACTGCACAACCTTATTCACAAATCTGGCATTGAATTGATGGCCTTGGAAATGCAGATTTGTTAGTGGAAATTTGCCTATTCAAATCCCACAATTTACAATGAAACTGTGTGAATGCACTGGTCTTAGCCTAAACTGCCCTCAAAGTAATCCAATGTCATCAATCCTCAAAGTCTTTCCCTGAGCACTTTATTCACTTGTAAACTGCTGATAAGTACCTCGTAGGAGCATATTGCAAAAGTAAAGACGATGACATTGTAGACATTGTGGAGATTCAAACTGTGTACTAAATTTAAATTGAGAGTCTTTAGAAACTACTCTATCATTTTCATGCCATTGTGTTGGATACTTGCAGTCCTTCGGCGGTGCTTCCAAGACTTAGCTGAGGATGCATAGCTGAGAGACGGCTATGAAACAGTAGAGGCTTGAAAGGCAAATCTCACCACATGCTGAAAATGATTAAGGTTTTGGTACTGGACAACAACACTTATAGACACCTTAAAAAATCAGAATCAGCTTTAAGGTGAAGCAGGCTTAGGCACAGAAGGCATACTCAAAGACTCTCAGCTGAAACAAGGACAACAAAGCTGACAAACATAACAATTATGTACAGGCAAGTATGTGAAAAAAGATACATACTGAATATACACAATGTACACTGTGAGACACCCCTGCACGAAAACTGATATTGCTTTCTGATTTGTCACTGGCAACAACGGTAAGTGTGACTTGATTACCAGTGACCCTGAGCTGCTTGTCAGGTCTTACTTGTCAGTGACACTACAGACAGGGGACAGCAGCATGCTGTCATCCTGAGGCTCTGGTAGCTGAACAGGGATCTTTTTGTTCCTGAAGGTGCCTGGGTGGGAGGCCCTGATGATGGGACCACTGAATACCTCCATTTAGAGATTTGTTGCCCCCCTGCCTTGAACAGTCATGAGAGGTCATGCTAGCTTTTCTCTGTGGTGTTATGTCAGTCGTCTAAAATGACCTGTGTGCTTTCTTTATTCTTAGAGTGCTTTCCTGCCGTTTTTTTTTAAATTTTTTTGTATTTTCCTTGTATCATCCACATGGATACAATGGAGTGTTAACATAAGCTTCAGTGATCATGTCATTTATAGCAGTAAAATAAAACTTGTGTTTCAAAGTGATGACATAAAAAAGAAGCTCTATGGAAGCATAGCATCCACAACATAGAAAGCTATAGGAGAGAATATGGTACAAGGAATGTGAAGGATATTTTATTTTATTTTATTTTACCCACTAGCTTTACATTTGTGAACCATAAGCATGAAATCTGATGAAGCATGAAGCTGAGTCATTAGAGCAATATGAAGAGGAGAAGGGCCAGAGACTGATACTTTATCTCACTTGTTTAGTGACTGGTCCAAATAGTGCCCTCTTTAAATGTGAGTATCACTGCCTAGGGTCCTCCTCTCAATGGATCTTTGTCAAGTACATGGCATCCTGTAATGGTGGCAAGAAACAACCTTTTGGAATTTCATGGTTTTCTCAATAAATTTGTCATAAAATGTGATCTGATCTTCATCGAAGTCAGGGGTACAAATATATTGTGTCTAAAATAATAACACAAAATAAATTCTGATCCCTCTTGTCTTTATTGAGAACAACCAAAAAAACTCATAGTGCTTGTGGAAAAGTTATGTGAACCCTTGAGGTAATGACCTCAAAAAAGCTAATTGTAGTCAGGTTTTAGCCAGTCTTGTTAAGAAAATAAGTTTGGAGGTGTGGATTTCAGCTACTCTGTCTCTGCACGAGAAGCATACGCTTATGTGAGCCATTCCCCACCAAAAAGAGCTCTCAGCGGATCTATGATCAAGAATTGTTGATTTACATAAAGCTGACAAAGGTTACAAAGTCACTAGTCTACAGTTAGGCAAACACTCTACAAATGGGGTCACTTTGGGACTGTTGTTACTCAACCAAGAAGTGGGTGCCCAGTCAAAATCGCACCAACAGCACAACATTGACAATCAATGAGGTAAAGAAACAACCCCCGAATGACAGCCAAAGATTTGAAAGCATTGGAATTGGCTAACATCTCTGTTCATGAGTCTACAATACGTAAAACACTGAACAAGCAGGGTATCTACGGCAGGACACCACGCCACTGCTTACTAAAAAGAACATTGCTGCAAGCCTGACAATTGCAAAAGAGCACATTGACACGCCATAGGTATTGGCAAAATGTTTTGTGGACTGGTGAAACTAAAACTATTTGGACGAACCAAACAGTACTACATCTGGCGTAGAAAAGGTACGGCAAATCATCATGGAAACATCATTCTAACCATAAAGTATGGTGGAGGAAACGTCATGATTTGGGTCTGGGTTGCTGCATTAGGGCCTGGCCAATCTGCAATCATTGAGGGGAAAATGAATCCCCAAATATATCAGACAATTCTTCAGAATAATGTGAGAATATCTGCACGTCAGCTGAAACTGTGTAGAAGTTGGATGATGCAACAGGATAATGACCCAAAACACCGGAGCAAGTCCCACAACAGAATGGCTTTAGAAAAACAAAATCTGCCTTTTGGAATGGCCAAGTCAGAGCCCAGACCTCAACCCGATAGAGATGCTACAGAATGACTTGAAGAGAGCCATCCAGATGTCCAAAGAATATGACAGCGCTAAAGCAGTTCTGACAGGAAGAATGGGCTAAAATTCCACCGTAACGATGTGCAGGTCTGATCCACAGTTACAGGAAGCGCCTGGTTGAGGTTATTGCTGCCAGGGGGGGGGGGTCAACCAGTTATTGATAAGGGTTCACTTACTCACTCAACATTCAAAATGGCAGTTGAAAAAGTGTGTTCAATAAAGACATGAGGGATCAGAATGTGTTATTATTTTAGACACATATTTGTCAATACCCTTGACGTAGATGAAGATCAGATCACATTTTATGACAAACCATGGAATTCCAAAAGGTTCACATACATTTTCTTGCCACTGTAGATGTACTACAAATTCAATTTCATTTCCTTTATGGTATTTGCATATTTGTGGCCAATGAGATGTATTTCCTTCACATGGCAACTGAACAGTCACATTTACAAGTCTGGGTTAATGCTCTTAGTAAAACTGTGCCCAACAGAGTATTATGTGGCAATGCCCAGAAATAGCCACATAAAAATGAACAAAAATGTTGTTTTTACACTGTCAGATTAAACAAATGAGATACAACAAGTTAATTTGTGAGATTTATACACTGCTCAAAAAAATAATGGGAACACTAAAATAACACATCCTAGATCTGAATGAATGAAATAATCTCATTAAATACTCATTTCTTTACATAGTTGAATGTGCTGACAACAAAATCACACAAAAATTATCAATGGAAATCAAATT